CAAGCACTTTGCCCAAAGGCTGGCTTGTGCTTGCCCTAAGACCCTCTCCCCACCTCCATTCTGGATACATCTAGGAATGCGTAGAGTTCCCAGAGGGTGGGGATAGAGGGACGCCCTTGGTCTTGCCTTCCTCCTTTATCAGGTGTTTTCAGTGTTTCATAAACGAGGCTAGAGTTTTCTACCTCCCACTCAACTTTTCTGAACTCACTGCCAGTGAAGTATGATAAACCCGTAGTCTCAGAGAATGAACTGGATTGAAGTCTTGCCTTGGTGTAAAAAATGCTTCTCTACTTTAGCACGTGAGCAAAAGAAGTCCCTCTCGTTTAAACAGAAATGTGTGCTCTTGATAACCTGAGCCGTAATTACACCATAATTAGGATAGATGTTTGGTCGCTAGCCTCATTCCCGTGCCCCCTCCCCTCAGGACTGGCACTACAGATCCCTGTTTAATTGTCAAACAAAAGCAGCCAGATCTTGTTTAGAATCAACACCCTGGGGCTTGATCGGAAAGGTTGTATCTACAGCCACACTGAACAACAGCGGTGATTACCTGCTTCTACATTCCTCTGTTTCTTTCTTTGCCCCCAAAGATTTCTATACCTAGAAACTGATTCCCTTGGGTTTTAATACTTAGTACTGTGGACTAGGAGCACAAATTACCTATTGAAATGAGGGCTTTTCTGGGAACCGCAAAAACTCCACTTAATATTTTCAAAATATATTTAAGTCTGATATTGGAGCTTGCATTTTCTCTGAAGAACACATGGCAGGTCTAAAAGTAAGTAGAAGCCGAGTCGAACAGTTTCACGTACTCTCCAAACCACACAACGTATTCTAAATGGTATTAGAAGACCTCCTTCTAATTAAGTAAATAGATCACAGTCAACAGTGTACTCCCTCATCGACAAAACCAAATATGTATTTTAGATTTGGAAGCATATCTGGTTACTGGAAAACTGTGATTAAAAAAATGAGAAGGAAAAAAAAGAACAGTTCCTTAAAAATAATTTCATGATTCTCTAATAAAGCTTCTTTATTCCGTATCCTTCATATTACTTAGAAATATACCTATCAAGGACCCTGGGTGGCTCAGTCAATTAAGTGTCTGCCTTAGGCTCAGGTCATGATCCTAGGGTCCTGGGATCGAGCCCCACACTGGGCTCTCTGCTCAGCTGGGAATCTGCTTCCCCCACCTCCCTCTGTGAGCTCTCTCGCTTTCACACTATTGCAAATAAAGAAATAAAACATTAAAAAAAGAAAAAAGAAAAAAAAATAGACTTGTTGATCTCTCCCTCTACCACATGGTGACCAAACTGTGAGGATATTTAATACAATTTCATAGCCTATTTAAATGGGTATTTAAAAACAATATCTTGAAACTTCGCTTGCTGTTTACTAGAATATTACCACTTTGAGATTTGAGTGAAAATCACTTGCAAGCAAGAACGACGGAAGGGACTTAATGGATCTGGCTGGGGGCTGGAGGCCAAGGTGAGGCTTCAGGAGAAGCCCTGAACCAGGCGGTTGCAGTTGGGACATACTGTGGTTACAGCAGGGGACAGAGGCGGAAGAACCGGAACCTGACTCAGTCCCCAGCGATGTTGGGGAAATGACACCCAGATACACTCCAATACAATTTCCTTGAAGAGGTCTAAAGTCTAGTTTCGATACTTATTTAAAATACAGGGTTATTGTATTTCTGCTTAGTGCTGTGCCAACAAACAGGTTCAAGAAATAGCTTAACACACACAACCTGAGAGATTTAGGGGGGCAGGCACTTCCTCGTAGCCAGAATTAAGCGCTGAAAAATTAAGAAGGAAGCTTCTAGAATCTGCACCTTCAGCAGGTTTGCCCCGTCTGCTTGTTCGGATGTGGGTGTGGGGTTATACAGCCTTCGGGAGAGGTCAAAGGTGCGTGGGGAGGATAAAGGTAAGGCACGTCTTTGTGTTTTAAAAAAAAAAAGTCCTGTGTTCCAGCCACCTGGGTTCCTCAAGGTAGAGCACGGCTTTCACTATAAGGCAAAGAAAAAATAGGAAAGGAAAGGGACGGTGGAAGACCCAGAAAGGTCTGTATAATGCCTACATTTCTCATTTTCTTGCGCCAGCCACAAAAATGTTCTTTTGCATGACTGGCCGAACAAGCCACTGCTTTCAAATGGTATGAGGCTATAAAAAGCAATACTTTCACCAAAGCCATTAAGGTCACTCTATTTGGCTCCAGTGTCTCTCAGAATGTAAGCTGCTATGTTGTATTCAAATACATTACTTGTTTCTCAAAAGCGCTTATTTGACCAATGCTCCTAATCTAGGATTTTGTTTCTGCAAAAAACCCAATAATGGTGATTTATGTTTATCCTATGTTTATTCTAATTTTGGGTCTTTGAAGAGGGACCCAGATTTCCAAACCCAACCCAACAGAAGGATTAGCACAAAATGCAGAAAAAAAGTAACTTAAAAGATTAAAATCCTGAGTCTAACAATGCTATTTTAACAATTTACAGGAATGCAACAATTTCAGTGTCATGTTGGTTTCTGAAATACATCTAAAAATGTTTACCTCTTGAATTTTCATTTATCCCAATGAATTAAAGAGAAACTGTCACAAAGTACACATTTCCATAGTTATTACCAGAAAGCTGGCATATTAAAAATTCTTCCGGGGTGCCTGGGTGGCTCAGTTGTTAAGCGTCTGCCTTAGGCTCAGGTCATGTTCCCAGGGTCCTGGGAGCAAGGCCCACTTCCGGCTCCCTGCTCGACGGGAAGCCTGCTTCTACCTCTCCTGCTCCTCCTGCTTGTGTTCCCTCTCTCTCTGTCAAATAAATAAGTAAAATCTTCAAAAAAAAATTTTTTTTTCATCTGGAGGAAATAAAGAAATCTGGTTTATATATCATTATGTTTAATTATTGTCTTCATAAATATTAGTGACTAAGCGTCTGAATAATCAAAATGACTGCCAACAGATACGGTCTGCTAGGGAAAAGGAGGCGCTTTAGAACCAAATCCAACCCATTCAGCAAGAGCAAATAATCCAGGAACCTTCAGCTACATCAGAACACCAGGACGCACTTCTCTCTCAAAACAGGACGCAGCTCCCTCAAGACTTTTGTCTACTCTGCTAACGGCCCCTGTATGGAGCTTGAGTGCTCCCACCCACAAAGCAGGGGGGCTGCTGGCATAGTGAGGATAGCAGAGTGGATGTGTACATAAACCACTGATTATGTAGCAATCCTTGGCCAATTGCCTGTTTCCCTTCAGCAAAAATATAGAACAGGATATGTATTTCTTTCATGTACATCATAGCATGAGACATTTAGTTCCAACATACCTAAGCTGTCCCTCCAGGATATAATTAGAAAAAGAGGGAAGAGTTTGAGAAAGAAAAATGATAGCAGAAAAAGAGTAAGAGGGACTCCTTGGGCTGAGGTCATGATCCCAGCGTCCTGGGATCGAGTCCTGCATCGGGCTCCTTGCTCAGTGGGAGCTTCTCCCTCTGCTGCTCCCCCTGCTTGTGCTCCCTCTCTCTCTTTCTGACAAATAATTTTTTTTTAAAAAGGAAAGAAAAAAAGTAAAAAGAATTTTACAATGAGCCCTTAAAAGAGAAAAAAAATATGGAAAATTATAGATATCTGGGCTGCACTTAAATGGTTCTTTAGGGACCCCAAATAAGCTTTGTTCTGTGTAAGGGCATCTTATAGCTGGGGGAGTGCAAGGAGGCACTGGATGGGAGCCCTGATCCTTATTATCAAAAGCAGGAGAGCCCTGAGTATTTGGATGGGAAACCAAACTGGGAGGCGCTGGGGATAGGCACGGTGACCCAGCAACACAGTGCTGGAAGTCTGGGGACCACCTAGGCTGGAATATTTCTACCAAAGCAATAGAAACATAACCACAATAAAACTTAGCATGTGATAAGGGTCAGATGTTCATTTAGTCCAAACTATTATATGTAAACATATGTATAATTATCACATACATATACACATCTTCTACATAAAGAGTATATAAAATACAATTCTTTAATCCAGGGTCCCATGTGGGGCCTTGGATCTCTGCTTTCTTTGTATATGAAGTCAGCTTTTCATTCTCACATTCTTTATGTTAAAGCCAGGTGCTTTCAGGACACTCACTGGGAAAAGTCCACCCTCAAACGTAATTGGGAAAGCATGGAAAGAGACAGTTTGGGAACAGAGAATAACTTTCCCAGGGCTATCCACAGGGCAAGTGGAAAATGGGCAGGAAAGGAAAGACAAGGAAGGGATAAAATTGCCAAGGCCTGTCTCATAGCCAGAACTCATTTCCTTACTTTCTATTTGGAGCTGATTTCCCCCACACCTCCTCTGACACATCCTAGGCAGAAGAGTTCCTGTGACTAAGTATCTCCCAATTACTAATAACAAACACTTCCTACAGAATGTTTCATTGACAGATTAACATACCAACTTCTACTCTATTTCATCCCTGCATGAGAACACTAGAAAGTGACCTTGAAACAAAGTCCATTAAATTATAATTTAAACTGTAATTGGAAAAGAGCATAAAAACTGCAACGAGGGGCACCTGAGTGGCTCAGTAAGTTAGGCATGCAACTCTTGATTTTGGCCTCGGGTCATGACTTCGGGGTTGGGGGATCAAGCCTCATGTGGGGCACACTGCACTGAGCATGGGGCCTGCTTGGATTCTCTCTCTCCCTCTTCCTCGCTGCCCCCCCTTTACATGATCTCTCTCTAAAAACAAAACAAAACAAAAATCTGCAATGAATTGCTGACAGGATCAGAAATTGATATAATTCTTTTGAAATTGTCTCTTTTTAATCATGTCGAGAACCCTACAAATGCTTTTATCTTTTGACATAGTAACTCTACAACGGTGAATTTATTTTAGAACATGTTTTAAAGAATACAGAAAAAACAGTATCCAAAAATATATTCAGTGAAATAACAATGTAAATGTCTAGAGGAGACATTTAGAAGCATCTGGGAAGTACATTAAAACGTATATATAAGCTTTGCGCAGTGGCCGTATCGTAGCCAATGAGGTTTATCCGAGGCGCGATTATTGCTAATTGAAAATGTATATAAAACTTTAAACACATCTAAATGTCTGCGGCAGACATTCTGAAGCATCCATGAAATACATTCAATTTATTGTTTAAAAAACAACACTTGGGGCGCCTGGGTGGCTCAGTTGGTTAAGCCTCCAGTTCTTGGTTTGGCTCGGGTCTTATCTTGGGGTCCTGAGATCGAGCCCCAGGTCAGGCTCGGTGCTCAACAGGTAGTCTGCTTGAGAGGCTCTCCCTCTGCAAAAAAAAAAAATCCTAAAAAAACAAACAAAACAGGGGCACCTGGGTGGCTCAGAGGGTTAAGCCTCTGCCTTTGGCTGGGGTCATGATCTCGGGGTCCTGGGATCGAGCCCCGCATCAGGCTCTCTGCTCAGCAGGGAGCCTGCTTCTTCCTCTCTCTGCCTGCCTCTCTGCCTACTTGTGATCTATCTCTGTCAAATAAATAAATAAAATATTAAAAAAAAAAAAACAAAACAAAACACAACACCCCCCCAAACCAGCACCATATTATTTTCATAAAAATGTAAATGTATGAATTTTTAAAAACCAAGTTGATAAATACGCCAAAAGAGTATCAGCTGTTAATGTTGGTGGTGAGATTTACCAACTATTTTTATTTTCTTCTATACTTTTTTTTTTTTAAGATTTATTTATTTGACAGAGACAGAGACACAGCGAGAGTGGAGCACAAGCAGGGGGAGTGGAAGAGGGAGAAGCAGGCTCCTTGCCGAGCAGGAAGCCTGATACAGGACTAGATCCCACCATACTGGGATCCTGACCTGAGCTGAAGGCAGTTGCCTAACCACCTGAGCCACCCAGGCACCCCTCTTCTGTACTTTCTTATTTTCTCCCAGTTTTCTGGGATAAAAGTATTCATCCACATATTTGAAGGAGTATTTTCAAATAGTTCTATGAAGACTATGCTTATGATTTTATTGATGAGGAAATGCAGTATGATTTCAGCAATGTAAAGATATATATTACATAGATATAGAAAAAAATCTTAAAATATACCAAATATTAATAATGCTTAATGAATTTAAGATGATTTTAATTTTGTCCTTCCTCCATGTTGTATTTTCTTAATTTTCCACATTCATCATTCTTACAATCAAGAAAATGCTGATGACTATTTTTAACTACAATAGTATTGACAGAGTTAAAAGGGAGAAAGTGCCAGTTTTTAAAAAGGTATTTTGTGTTGTACAATTTCAAGTATGCAAAAAATGCATGTATATAAGAGTCAGAGCACAAGTACACTAAAATATTAAGAATGGTTGCAAGTGGTAGGAGTATGGGATTTTTTTTTCCTTCCTACATCTGTGTATAGTACACATTTCAAAATGTTTTCATTATAAATGTATTATTTTATAGCTAAAAGTATCCCAAACCATAGTGGTTGCTGTTGTTTTCAGGGAGGTACTTATCAAGTGAAATCTCTTTATTTCCTGTCTTTCCTCAGCCTCAGTTAAGTGCAATAAAAAATACAAGTCTACGATGTTGCATTTTTTGTCTTCTGCATTGTTGCTGCTGCTGGGAAGAGCCTGGTAAACTAAGTTATTTAAAGTGTTAACAGCCCCCACTTGACATACACATATAATGAAATCAGTCTCAGGGTCAACTTTAAAAAAGAGACTAAATTGTAACGCAGGGTACTATCTTCTGGGTTTGTTTGCAATAAAGGGGTAAGGACTGCTTTATAAATTTCCATATAATGGATGTCACTCAATATTTCACAAAACAAAACCAGTCACTAATTCGGTACTGTTTCTCCTGAATAAAACCAGGGGCCAGATAGAAGACAATCAAGCCAAACTGGATTTGACAGATGAGACAATTCAGTCAAAAAAGCAAATCCCCAAACCCTCTTTTCAAATATTGGTGATTTTCATGCACTGTGGATGTTTTATAAGCTTGTGTATTTAAGCATTTTTAAAACATTTTTTCCCAATATTTGGTGGATTTTTGCTTTATTGTACTCCGTATCAGTTCATAGTTTTTGTCATCTGTTCTCTGTGACAATAAAACTTTAGAAATAAATTGAAATTGCCTGAAGATCAGTTAAATAAATTACGGTTTTCAAAACAACCTTTGTTCCATATTAAAAAGTTTTTATGAAAATTATAAGAATGATTGGGGGTGCCTGGGTGGTGCAGTCAGTGAAGTAGGTTTTGGCTCAGATCTGATCTCAGGTTTGTGAGATCAAGCCACGAAGATGGGCTCCATATTTAGTGCAGAGTCTGCTTGGGTTTCTCTCTCCCTCACCCTTGGACCTCCCTGCCCAACACCCTACTAAAATAAATAGATAAACCTTTAAAAGAAGTTTTTAAAATAAAAATGGAAAGAATGATCAGGAATATGCATTTAAACCAGTCTGCAAAAATCTATAAATACTACTGAAAATCCCAAGTACTACAAAACTCTAATTCCATATCTCTCTCTTTTTTTTAATTATATTACTGCTTTTCCCTCTAATTCCCAAAGGTATATACTACACACTTTGGAATTACTTCTAGGAGTTTAACTAAAGATACCTGCATAAGCATGAAAAGACTGTTTTCCAAATATGCTCATCAGAACTTTTGGGCAACAGATGCATTTTAAAATTTGGAGCTTTGACTTTCAGAAAAACTGTATGTAGGTATAACATGTATTAGTTCCCAGAGCTCACCACGGCCCCCTTGCAGGATCTGGGAAACACTAGAGACTCAAACACTGATACATCTAAATCAGACATAAGAAAATATTCACACCAAGTTGGGTAAATAAAGACTATAAAGAGCTTTTGGTGAATTCAAGAAGTGTTTAAACACCAAGGGTTATTGAGGAGAGGTAAGGGAAACAGGAGATGGGGAGGAGGGAAGGAGGAACAGACAGGAGGGGAAGGCCTTTAGGTTTTGGAAGTTTAGTTTTTGAAACTATAGATAAGTGATTCTGGGCCTATAAGACTGAAACCACACTGTCCATCAAGATGGGCCTATTACATCGTAAATACGTTTTATTTGTACGATAAAACACTATCATACCATCATGCCATGTTAGATGAAGAAAGGAAGTTGCAAAATGGTGTACATTTATAGCATGATTCTTTTTTGTGGGGGACAAACTGTGCTGTGTGTGTAAATAAATTATATTGTTACTGGAAAGGTGATATTACATGGAACTAAATTTACCTTTTTGTACTAAAAAAATAAATTAGCAGCATGTTTTGATCTTACTGCCTAAAAAGACGAAGATCATTATTTGCTCAAGGGTATTTAGTGTTTACTCTAGGAAATACTGTAGGGACACCACAGTTTAAAAAAAGTCACTTCTCTCACTGAGCTTCCACTCTGCTATGTACAACAACAATCAAAAGATTAAAATTATTATAAAAAAATGAACCAGGATGGGTAAGAGAGTCACAGGAGGGATATTCAAACTAGATCTTTGGGATGATGAGGTAACAGTTCATTTAAACATTTTACTTGAATACTCTTCATCAGAAAAAAAAAACAGTGTCTCATCAAGTCAATGGTACATCAAGACACGTACGTTCCAACCTGCTGAGACCCAATTCATGCAAACAGCTTCCAGAAACCTGTACAAATAATAACTTTTTACAACTTTTAAAAAGGAATTCTACTGGAAATGCTCCAATCATTACTCAATTATGGATTTTTGCCTTGAGTTCTTTTCCCTTTTTAATAGACCAAAATAATGTGTTTAATATTTTAATTGTATTCATCATATGGACTTTTAATCGCTCACCCCAATGCCATCTTCTAATAAATGTTTAACCCACATGACACTTTGAAGGAAAGGTTAAAGATGCAATTTTATAATCACGGGAAGAATAGAAACAAAGGCATTATGTGGGAACAGAAAGGTTGAAGGTAGCAAATACCTAATGAGGACTTGTGACACAGAAATTTCATCACTGAGTCCTAAATAGGTAGGATAGAAACTACAAATATAGAAAATTTCAAAAACTGTACCCCAAGGTTAATGACATAGAGTGACTAAACTCAAGATAAGCAATCCTCAAGGGTCAGATATGTGGTAACTGCTACACTTATTATAGATAGCCTGGAAGGTAAGGCAAACACATGGATGGCCAACATAGAAGGCAGAATTATTTCTGGCCTTCCGTTTTGTGCAGAACTTGGCTCAAAGTGCAAAGGAAAGTAGCAAAAGAGAAGGCTGCCTCCTATTCTCAAGGGATTTTTTGGTTAAGTAACTCCACCCCCCCTCCCCATCTTTCCAACCAGAAGTGACTTAAAAAAGACCAAAGAGCAATAAAAACAACTTTTATAAATTAGATTAGAGCCTGAAATAACATGGGAAGTTTAGTAAAACCATACACCGTGTAGAAGTAAAAGTGAAAAGAAAATTCAAATAATAAACATAAACTGGGGGAGCAGGAAACACTGGAGACATAAAGATACAGATGTATATTAAAATATATGTAACAGAAATTTTAAAAGTCTAGATAAAAAGATGAAAACTGAGAATGTTTTTGAAAAGAAAAAAAAAAAATATATATATAATAGCCTTTAAAAATGCCAAACCCTACCTGGTGTTGTATAGAAGTGTTGAGTCACTATATTGTACACCTGAAACTAATACACTATATGTTAACTAACTGGAATTTAAATATTTCTTCTTTTTTAAGATTTTATTTATTTATTTGACAGAGACAGAGATCACAAGTAGACAGAGAGGCAGGCAAAGAGAAAGGGGGAAGCAGGCTCCCTGCTGAGCAGAGAGCCCGATGCAGGACTCGATACCATGACCCTGAGATCATGACCTGAGCTGAAGGCAAAGGCTTAACCCACTGAGCCACCCAGGCACCCTGGAATTTAAATATTTCTAAGAAATAAAAAGGCCAATCTCTACAAATCAGGTGTGAATGAAAATCAGTGAAGGGAGTGCCTGGGTAGCTCAGTGGGTTAAGCCTCTGCCTTCCGCTCAGGTCAGGATCCCAGGGTCATGGGATAGAGTCCCACATCCGGCTCTGCTCAGCAGGGAGCCTGCTTCCTCCTCCCTCTTTCTCTGCTTGCCTCTCTGCCTACTTGTGATCTATGTCTGTCAAATAAATAAATAAATA